ACATACCACATAGTTGCACAATTAATTTCCCGAACTTCGAGGGACAGTATGTCACAGGTTTAGCTACTGTAATTCCTTGCAATCTTGCTACGGCACGAGAAGTGCAAAAACGCATAATCGCACAGCCCGCCTGGTGCGTTCCAGCCTGGATTCATCTCAAGACCTACAAAAGCTATAGAGCTGAAGCTTCGGGAACTTAATCTACATTCACGTACCGGCTCCCACCTGAAAAATGGGCGGCCTTACCCGCGTTGTACCCATGCAAGAGCCCGCCAAAGTTTTTCCCGGCTAAGTTCACAACCGCAAACCAGAAAAGCTAGAAAGCTGAAACCTTAAAGGGACATCCCCCGTCCAAGTAGGTATTAATGGGTTGAGATCCAACCCCCGGGTAGGCATGGTACCCGCGTACGAGCCCGCCAAAATCTTTCCCAGGTAAATTCATAACTCGGGGATCTGAAATGCTAGAGAGATGAAATTCTGAGGGGACGTTCCCCGTCCAAGAAGGTATTAACGGGCTCAGACCCAACCCCCGACCAGCGCGGTGCCCACGTACAAGCCCGCCAAAATTTTTCAAGGGTAAATTCATAACTCGTGGGTCTGAGATGCTAGAAAGCTGAAATATCGAGGGCACATTCCCTATCCGAGTAGGTATTGATGGGCTCAGACCCAAACCCCCGGGTAAGCGTGGTACCCGCGTACGAGCAAGCCAAAGTTTTTCCCGGGCAAATTCGTAACTCGGGGATCTGAGATGCTGGAAAGCTGAAATGTTAAGGGGATATTTCCCGTTCAACTCCGTATTGATGGGCTCAGACCCAAACCTCGGGCAAGCGTGGTACCCGCGTATGGGCCCGCTAAAATTTTTACCGGGTAAATTCATAACTCGCGGATCCGAGGTGCTGGAAAGCTGAAATCTTAAGGGGATATTCCCCGTCCAAGTAGGTATTGATGGGCTCAGACCCAACCCCCGGGCAAGCGTGGTACCTGCGTACGAGACCGCCAAAATCTTCCCCGGGCAAATTTATAACTCGGGGATCAGAGATGCTAGAAAGCTGAATCTTAAGGGGATATTCTCGTCCAAGTAGATATTAATGGGCTCAGGCCCATCCCCGGCTAAGCGTGGTACCCGCGCACGAGCCCGCCAAAATCTCTCCCGGGTAAATTCATAACTCGCGAACCAGAAAAGCTAGAAGACTGTAATATTAAAGGGATGTTGTTCGTCTACATTAGTCTCAACGAGCCCAAACCCGGCCCTCGGTCACGCGTGGTACCTACGCACGAGTTCACCAAAGTTTCTTCGGGTAATTTGCTAACTCGAGAACCTGAAAAGCTAAAAGACTGTAGTTTTAAGATGTTCCCCGTCCAAGTAAGTCCCAACGAGCTCAAACCCAAATAACGGGCACGCGTGGTACCCGCGTGCGGGTCCGTGAAAGTTTCTTCCAGTAAGTTGCTAACTCAGGAGCCAGGAAAGCTAGAAAGCTGAAATTTTAAGTGGGTGTATCCTGCCAGTTCTGGCGGCCAGTCTTAATTTGTTTAGCTAAAAGCATTTGCCGAAAAAGCCGATGCCGGTAGGGACAAAAACTGTGGGGAACTGCGCAAAAAACGCATCTTCGCCGGGCAGCCCGTGCGTTGGCCAATTATTCTTATTCCCAAGTAAGCAATTCCCAGCCAAAACTTTCACGCGCTCGCACGTGAGAGTTACGTATACCTGCGGACTGAATTCGAAACCTGAAACGTACTGGACAGGGAATATTTTCTTAAAATTCCAGCTTTTAACTTTCCTGGTTCCTGAGTTTACAGTTTTCATGTCAAAATCTTTGGGTCTTACGTGGGTAGGAATTTCAAATCGTTTGCTCCTACTCTTAAAATTCCAACTTTCTAGGTTTTTCCGGTTTCTATGTTAGCAATTTTTCCGCCAAAACCTTCACGCGAATGTACCGGGGAGATGAATTTGAAATTTTTTGTCGTACGTGAACAAAGAACATTCCCTTAAAGTCCCAGCTTTCAAACATTTTTTGTTCCCGTGTTATCAACCTTCCTACCAAAATTTCCACTCGTCCGTACGTGAAATGCAGACGTGTGTAGAAGTTCATGCCACAATCCTGCCGCCGCACTTGGATATGAGCACACTGGCAAAATCTCAGTACCAAAGCTTGCCTGGTTTTTGAGCAGAATTACCTGGACAGACGAATATGAACACAAACACACACACACACACACACACACACACATACACACACACAAAAAAAAACATACACACATGAACGAATTCCACGTAACATGCGTTTTCGCGGCTTGTTGTAGCACTCTAGCGCTGTATAGCAAAAACCCATGATATAATGGGAATTGAAAATACTGTACTAACAGTCGATGCTATGTAAATGTTGGAAAAGACATTTCATCCTGATTTGATAAGTCTATCAGTCCTGCAATTTTTGTTTTGCTTAGCCCTAAACCCGGCTCGTCATTCATTATGCGTTTTGCACAATATGCAAACACACATACTGTGACGACTCCTGTGTGTGTGTGTGTGTGTGTGTGTGTGTGTGTGTGTGTGTGTGTGTGTG